ATATTATCATGAACAAACGGAACATATCATCATGAACAAACGGAACATATCATCATGAACAAACAGAAATATCATCATGACCAAACACAACATATCATTATGAACAAACGGAACATATCATCATGAACAAACGGAACATATCATTATGAACAAGCGACACACACAAGCATGATTAAACGGAAAATATAATTATGAACAAACGGAACATATCATTATGAACAAGCGACACACACAAGCATGATTAAACGGAAAATATAATTATGAACAAACAGAACCTATCATTATGAACAAACGGAACACGTCGTCATGAACAAACGGAACACGTAATAAACACAACGACAACGTCTTCCCCCGGATACAGAGCATATCGACATGAGGACACAGAACATGATCTATAGCATGTACTTCCATGTTACGTGAGGCTACATATATCTATACTCACATGTCTCGTATTATATACATTACAAAGCGTCCATACCCAGGAATGAAAATCTCAATGCCTCCATTGAAAAATATGAGGAGCTTGTTGAATATTTAAAAAAGAAGAATTGGGATTTGAATAACAAGCTGATCATATCAACCGTTTCTGTCGTTTAAAAGTACATACGGTATTCATCTAAAACCTTAAAAAAGTTTTACAAAGCCACAAATGATTTATGTGTAGTATATACAATGTCTCAATGGTAGAGAAAGACGCGCTTGCAACAGGTGTTTTCTTTCCACAAAATACTGGCATGAAGATACGTGTCTACATATTCCTGCCGTATAAGTATGTACCAGAAACAAACATATCTTCCAAGCACAAAATAAATACTCATGTATTCTGAACCACGGTAAATTGCAACAGAACCACGTCCACGAAAAAAACTATATTTGAAATAGGCTGAAATCGACAGGTGCTTATTTCAAGAATGAAATGTACATTTCTTTCACCGTTTAGCGTCGGTCGCTACCTGACTATAGAGAGCAGATGTTAAGCTATTTAAATCCGCCTGTCAATATCAGACGCAGGGTCGGCCCGGAGACGAGTGTATTTATTCTACTCGCGTCTCTCTTGAGCTTCGTTTGGGTTGCCTCTGAAATAGCGACGCACGGGTGAATGGGCACTCAGGAAAATCATTGTTGGACGGGTCATGAGAGAGCGTATGTTCACGGCTGACAAATGCGCCGATTATTGCCGTATTGGGAGATTAATAATGTATAAAACACGCAGATTACAAGCGTCAGTTGAGTTTCATGAAGGGTAGCTTTAGCCGTACACGATATTGACGACGGGTGAAACGATGAGACGAGGACGGTGACATATGTTAATTCATTTTGAACTTTATTAATTTTTCAAGTCTTTGTTGAAATATCCTTTCATTATTAGACCTTTCAAAATGTCACCACGTAATAAGAAATCACATAACCTTCGCATTTAATTTATACTTGCCAGTTAAACACCATTCTGTTGTATTGTGGCATTTAATAATAGTAAGGGTATTTGTATAGCGCTGACTTCCACCACACAAGGGCAATGTTCAATGAGCTGACAAACTCAAAGTCACATTTTTGAAAGCTGAACGGTTGGAGGGAGTTTTATATATCTTTTTCTATGAAATATACATTTCTAATATACCCTGTGACGTGCTACGTGTCCCGCAGCTTGAATCATGGAGAGATGTGTCATGAATCATGATGGCACAACGAGGTGTACCTTAGACAAATATTTAATCCCAGAAATAAGGTTATCTTATGTATAAATATATACCTCCAAAAAATATACATAGAATCCACAGCAAGACCAGAACAATTGTTAATGTTAGGTTAGGCATTCTATATACTTGCTCAGTCAGTTCTAGACTTGTGTTGGACGTTTTAATTTGTTTCCAGGATCTGGGAAAGGGACAATTAAGTTGTACCCTTACATTAGACGTTGTAGGAATGACATGGCAAACACATGTATTTTAAAATTCGTTCTTAACAGTGATACATATTTTACATATTATTGGCAGGAGCTATGTTACGGTCGGCTCGTGAGAAACGAGTATTTCATGATTTCTATTTTCACCAAAAAATCCAAAGAAACTAAATAACACATGCACGACAATCGTCAACAGAAGCCCTTAAAAAATATATGTTTGTTATTGTTATTATAGTGTTCGGTATTGTTATTATAACGCATAGTAATGTAGTGTTGAGTGGGCGCCATTGTCGACGTCTATGACGATCAATAACGTCAGATTAGCGTAACGTCATACACTGAATTCAACAACATGTCAGGTCAAAACTCCAAGTGTTTTAATCAATATACTCCTTGTGTGCCATGCAGGTGAATAGGTCCGCGGTAGGTATAGGTATCGTGCAATTCGGCTTAGAAAGGATGGGTGGGCGGGAGGGTGACGAAATCGTGACGAAATCGTGACGTACCGACTCTTGTATCTCGTCACCATGACGTTAAGCTGCCAGTACTGAAAAACTGGTCCAGTACTGATACAGGATGACTGTCCCAGACTGAATTATTTACTGGTTGCCTAGTCTGTCATACAGACCCGGAATCAAATATATCCAAGAAAGCCCATGCAAGTCTAGAATATGTTGCAAGTCCAAAAATGAAGAAAGTCTTAGGGCTCATCTTCATTATGTATATAAGAGGTAAATTCTGAAATAATTACGGGACCGTATCGACACGGATCTTCTCCGGAGAAGATCCGTATCGTAAATATTTCAGGAGAAGATCCGTGTCGTGTAATTATTTCGGAAGATCCGTGTCGTGTAATATTTCAGGAGAAGATCCGTATCGTATTCCTGGGAGAAGATCCGTATCGTGTAAATATTTCAGGAGAAGATCCGTGTCGTGTAAATATTTCAGGAGAAGATCCGTATCGTGTAAATATTTCCGGAGATCCGTGTCGTGTAATTATCCGTGTCGTGTAAATATTTCAGGAGAAGATCCGTGTCGTGTATTTCCGGGAAGATCCGTATCGTGTAATATATTTCAGGAGAAGATCCGTGTCGTGTAAATATTTCCGGGAGAAGATCCGTATCGTGTAATTATTTCAGGAGAAGATCCGTGTCGTAATAAATATTTCCGGGAGAGAAGATCCGTGTCGTGTAATTATCCGTGTCGTGTAAATATTTCAGAGGAGAAATATCCGTATCCGTGTCGTAAATATATCCGTTCGTGAGGAGAAGATCCTATTTCGTGTAAACATATTTCCGTGTCGAGTAATTATTTCAGAGGATCCGTGTCGTGTAATTATTTCAGAGGAGAAGATCCTTTTCGTGTAATTATTTCAGGAGAAGATCCGCGTCGTGTAGCTATTTCAGAGGAGAAGATACATAGCTATGCTAAATGCAGTGTTAAATAACATCTACTCATGTAAAATAACGGATATTCTCCTTCAACGTGAATCCTCTTTGAACGTTATGTCAGTTGTATCAGAGTGGGCCAACTTGTAAGAGGAAAGCCCGAACAGATGCTGGTCTCAAACAATTACATCTTTTAATTTCTTATTTACAAGAATGTTAAATATATAAAATAATGTTAGGAAAGAATGTAAGATTTTGTAATAAGAATGCTGCTTATGCGTTTAATGATTCGTCCATTGAATCATGTTTAAATATTAAATATTCCTATGAATAATATACATCGCCTACGCCATGTTTATAACAATGATGCACCTGTACAAGATGTGTCACGAATATCATGTTTCTTTCATCCTGACATTTAATATATAAGACAGCTTTGCAATGCTAAGAGTGGGGGAATGAGTTCTCTGAGGTAAATGTTAATGCTCAACCAATTAATTTCCGTAAGAGTGACTTGAGTTAAAGTCAATTTTGAATTATTATTAATGCATGTGTTTATTTTTTTAATTTTACGTGGATAGTGTGATTTCAAAACTACAAAATGTCACAACATACATTGATTCAAAATTTCTTCGTGAACAAACAGACGCCAGTGCCATTTTGGGTCCATGACATCAAGCTTGTGAAGGACTCTCCAACTACATCTCTCCACGTGCTTCACCTTTGATCAATGTTTAAGAGGTTAGCGATAATCAGGGGAGATTGATTATTAGTCGGTGAGAAACAAGCCAGTGGTTAATCACCCATAAACAAGGATATGACGGGGAATGAAGCGCAACCGCGGGTAATAGAATGTTCCGTGGAAATGTGTAACAGGGCGAGCAGTTTGATATAACAAGGGGATGGTGACATCGAATGCAATACGATGTCTAGTCTGTCTCACAGTCCCTGGACCACATTATTGTCCCTACTGCCAAGCCCTCCCTGCAATGTAGTCTGTCTCACAGTCCCTGGACCACATTATTGTCCCTACTGCCAAGCCCTCCCTGCAATGTAGTATGTCTCACAGTCCCTGGACCACATTATTGTCCCTACTGCCAAGCCCTCCCTGCAATGTAGTCTGTCTCACAGTCCCTGGACCACATTATTGTCCCTACTGCCAAGCCCTCCCTGCAATGTAGTCTGTCTCACAGTCCCTGGACCACATTATTTCCCCTACTGCCAAGCCCTCCTGCAATGTAGTCTGTCTCACAGTCCCTGGACCACATTATTGTCCCTACTGCCAAGCCCTCCCTGCAATGTAGTCTGTCTCACAGTCCCTGAACCACATTATTTCCCCTATAGACTAGCCCTTCCTGCAATGCTAAAGCCCGATATGAAGCAAGTCTAGAATTCCCCAGGTTCTGAATCTCCCAACTCACTGGGGCTCCTTTTCAATTTAAATTACGCGTACGTTATATTCGGCTATGTCGAACATTTGGGTTATACATTCACTCAATAGATATATTACTTTCTATCTCGAAGGTCTATCACCCTATCCACAGGTATCACAATGGTGTAATTGTTGCAGGAATATGTTTAAATACAGCGTAATTGATGCAGATTGGGCTGATGTGTATATCAGTCAAGTGATGAGGCTGACGGCACTTAACAGTAAATACATAGCAGCACTCACAGCGTGATTGACAGCTCGGAGTGTTAGCACCTACCTTATGTAAGGAGAACTCGTTCTTAACCACATCCCACAATGTCGTGTATCCGTGGCAGAAATGGCAGCAAAGTATCCAAACCAAAAACCTCACGGTTCCTGAATATCGTCCCATTTTCACCAACCGTCTTTAATTTGCCGTGGAACTCACTGAACACTTCATAACTGATTGTACTCAGCTGTGATGATCTCCGCAGTACAATAACACTGCTAATTCGCCGACACTTCACACTGTATCGAACCGTTGTATTAACGAGTACGTTGTATATGTTGAGATGGAACGTCGCTGTAACGTCGTTGTGATGCAGTTGTAGGTCCCACAACCATTAACTGACAATAATACTCAGACTGTCAAATCCTCGGGGATATTGATTGATAGTTGCCAGTTTCACCTCATTAGTCAATTTCTTCATATATTCATCACTGTCATCGCCTGCAAACCTCCACTTGTCTATTTCATGGTCAACCACCCACACACAAGAATAGCACTCTTTGAAATGAGAACCACTAAACAACTTTTGATTGAGCCAAATATCATCCGAGGTGCTAGACCGTATGAACGTACTCCGCAATCAGAACGTGTTAATTTCACATGGAAACATGTCAATATCACATAACCTGGTGTTGATTTCGTACAACTCCTCTCGCAGCAGTGGCTTGTTTTAGCCGCGGCGATGTGTATTTCACATACACACGTGTCACTGTGGTGTACACACGCAGGGACCGATGTCTATTTCAACTGGTTGCAGCCACTGCGGTGCTGGTGTTGCCGGAGAGGGAGCGTGACAGTGTAGCCGCTGTTAACGTGTATGTCTCAAACGTAGGAAGAAGGTAGCAGCTCCTTCAGCTCTGGGGATACGTGCCTCCTCCGCGAGATGAGGGACGGAGTAAAGCATTGTACCCTAATGCATGTTCAGGGCGCAGGCATTGTAGGGACGGTCTGATACTGTAAGTAATTTATGACTTATTTCGGAAAATATGTTGACGCTCAATTAGCAGCTGATGGGATATGGAATGTAGTACTGTAGTAGTCTGTCTCACAGTCCCTGAACTATATTTCCCCCTACAGCCTTTCTTCCTGCAATGCTCAAGCCCTAAATCAAGCAAGTCTAGATTTCCCCAGGTTCAGGAATCTCTGATGTCCCCGAGGCTCCTTTTAAATTTAAATGGGTTTATTTGCTATAATCAAAATTATATATATGCGATAGTCTAGGGATGCAGCATAGATGGTCAGAGTGTGGAATGGTGTAAAGACGATGAATATGTTCGTAAGCGGTCGACAAAAATGAGAGTATAAATGATTTTGTAAAATTGGGTTTTTAAAGGATTTATTAGAACGATTGACCCACACATCACGCTAATTAATGAATGTCTATGACCAATGTTTAGCAAGGACGCATTATCGCAAGGTATTCTGAAAATACAGGCAAACAATTTACTTGTCGCATTACTTGTCCGTATAGCGGGGTTTCCGGGTTGATGGGAATCAGACTAACCTGGTTTCGCTAAATAGGGAAGGTAGGAAGGGAAGTTGACGGCTAACTACTAATTTGACAAGGAGATAAAGAGACAGTGAAAACTATATCGCTGTTGGTCTCTACAGAACTCATTGCAGGTATTGGTGGTATCAAGACAACTTCTACAGGGGTTGGTAAGGGGTTGAAGGGGTTGAAGGGAGGGTCAGGTACATTTGGAGATAGAACCGATCCAAATCATGAGCAACATAACAACAAAGCAATTCCAATAATTAGCAGTAAATATTGATAATAATATTTATAATAATTGCCGGTATATCGATGCAGATATTGTTTGGATTTCGGATTATTATCTGTCTTCATAAACCTCTCCCTATCGTATTAGTGTGTGTGTGAGTGAGTGAGTTGGGTTTTACGTCGCTTTTAGCAATATTCCAGCAATATTACGGCGGGGAACACCAGAAAAGGTCTTCACACATTGTACCCATGTGGGACATCGAACCCGGGCTACCGGTTTTAATATATCCGGAATGTTTTGAGGGCGACAACAAACAACGATAAAGTTGAATTCTCAACGCCCTGGGGAGAATACACAAACGTGAACATATCGGCGTCCAGTAGCACACTATCAGTCTGTTATTATCAGAGTGTTGAGTCAAGACATCTAATTCTCTCTTCTTTATAATAACCACACGATCCACATTTCTGTATATAAGATTGACCATATTCATCCTGTCATACGACTAGTGCACTGTATAACACATTGAATACACTTTACCCAGAATTATTACCCCAAAAAGTACATAAAAATTGCAGGAACACCAAAGAAAAAATAACAACATGTTAATTCGTGATTCTGCAACGTTTTAAACTGGCAAAAAACCACAACATTTTCGGAGTCCATAAAGTTTTCGAAACACTTCTTTTCTAAATTCTTCGCCGACCGCCGCAAATTCCTGTTCCCTCCCTCAATGCACTTCGACTTAAAGAGTTCCACATTGGTAATCGCTTTGGAAGGAATATTACTGAAGCGAAGCTCCTCAAGAATCGGCCCGGCATCATAGATGTTTAAATGTTACTTTGGAAGTTTCCGAGACCGAAATATATTGCATATGTCAATAGAGGTTTGCACGTGAAATCAGTGGCAGCCCGGTGACGGGCGCGTCCATTTGCGAGATGGGAAGGGGCGTAATCGTAAGAGTATAGTTCTGTGAGGTTAGTTTTAGTACCCTTGGAACTGCTAAGTGTACAATCTCATGGTTAAGTGTTTACTCGTCATCGGGATTTCTTAAAATAACGCCCAGGTACAGGGCCATCTTAGCTCGAAACTACACTGAGACACGCTGTATTAGGGACATACCGTGTTATAGTGTACAGTAAAACTAGGAACTACGGTTATGTCGAATATCGACATTTCTACAAATCGTTACCTCCGACGTTCACCGTATAGTATTGTATTGTGTTGAAATATCGTTCGTTAAAGACCATGGACATTGTATCGATATAACCGTACTTCGAAACAAACGGAGTATTGATATTAGTCATGGATATTGACGTTTCATCTACACAAACGGCCAATGGAATCAACTTTACTTCAAGACAAGCAGAATGTCGATATTTGTCAAGTTTAAACGTACACTGTATCAAACAATGAATGGAATTAGCCACACTTCGAGACAAGCGAGGTGGGAATAGTATACCTTGACATGTTACATGGTTCGAGTTCTCCACAGTTCGATGTTCTATGTGTTCTATGTATGTTGTAAGGAACAACAGGGAACAGTTCAACTATTGTTAGCAGGAATAGCATGGCACTGCGACAAATTCCTAAAGATCTTAAGACAGTGTCTGGCAAGCACCAGGATCATATTCCGGCTTACAAATGTAACTAGTATTAAAAAAGTGTCACCCACATTCTGTTTCTACTTGAGATGTTCGCTTAACGGTGCCTTTGGTACAAATGCCGTGGTATTCTGTTCCACTTCTCCTATGTCAACCTGACAGATATCAGATTTGTTTTTGTTATTGAAATGCTATTCACCAAGGCGTAAGCTAAACAGAAATTCACTTAATCGGAAAATGTTGTAAACATGTAATCTAACGCTGTTGCTGCCGTCTCCAAATACACCGAACCCCCGTTAACTGTAAACATCCTCGTTATACAGCCGCATTAACGTATCACCGAAATGACGCATTATTTGTAAGTAGTAAATAAAATTGATATATACATGTTCACCCGTAAACAGAAACTGTCCGGTTTCTGGGGTGTCATGACTAACAAGGTTCAACTGTACTGAAACGTTCTGGTGATACTTTAAAAGTGTATCGGTTGTCCATAATGGTAATTTTCACATAGTTACAGCAGTGGAGTTTAATTTAACGAATTCTCATCTGGTTCTTATTGATCACAACCGTATTGATTCCCAGGGGTCAATAGGCACCACTACTCCTGAGGGGCATACAATGTGTGAAGCCCATTGCTGGTGTCACCCGCCGTGATATTGCTTGATTAGTGCTAAAAGCGGCGTAAAACCATACTCACTCACTCACTCCTCACTCCAACTGAACATCAAACCTCTGATACAAACAACAGAGATGTGTAGTTTCTTTTCTACCTCAGTATGTACCACCATAATGTTTGAAAATATCGGGATTCTATTTCAATAGCAAAACATCCTTCGATAATCGTCGTGTCTCATTCCATCTCCTCGTGAAATTACTTGAATATTACTTATACTCACTCACTCTTTGATCTTTAACTCAGGGCGCATGTTCATATCAATAATCAATATCTATAGACATTAGGCCCCAGACCGTTAAACATAACGTTAATTATTCACGAAAGGTTGACACCTAAGACTGATTATAATTCATTGATTAAACACGAAGGAAAAAAAGATTAGACTACAAAATACAGACAGACACCTTGGGAGATTTCGAGACGATTATGTTGACATAACAGCGGATAATTACGTATTGGAATTGTTGCTTGACATTATTTGCTGGGAACCTGTGTTGTCACGGTTCCCGTAACATCAGTTATCGATCTGTATGAACAGCGTCTCATCATGTAGCAAGTCCCTGTATTCCGATGTTCAGTGTGCACAATGAACTTATCATTACTGTTAAACACAATAAGATAGGGCGATGCCTGTTATGCCTGAAATTTGTAAGCACGTGAATCTTAACCATCAGACAAAGAAAACAGGTTCAATTATTTGTTTACATTGTATTGAAGTACTTCGATTTCGTATTTATGTACACACCATTAGCACTATCACTGTAATGAGCTATTGACAAAAGGTTTTGTTGGAAGAACACTAAAGAGGTTCACTTTCGGGGCACAAGCTGTGTATGTTGTGAAGGAGTTTCACATTGACGAGGGCTGTGGGGTAGCCTAGTGGTTAAAGCGTTCGCTCGCCACGCCTAAAACCCGGGTTCGATTACCCACATGGGTACAATGTAAGAAACCAATTTCTGGTGTCCCCCGCCGTGATATTGCTGGAATATTGCTAAAAGTGGCGTAAAACTAAACTTACTCACATTTACTGACAAATTATCGTAATTTTCAGTGTTCCAGTCACAGTATCAAACAATTATATTACATGATAAAACTATGCGGAATTCTTTAAATATAATTTATTTAATTTTGAAA